AGTCCTGCCCCAAGTTTTTATTTGCCTTTGATTAATTTCTAGTGGGAGAATCTGGAATTAATGTTCTTAATTTTGGGATTAAGAACATTTTTTCTGCTTTTATTTTACTAAAGATATTCAAATTTTTCCTTCCATCTTTTCATGGTCTTAAGAATTTTTTTCCACACCTCCTTATAGTTACTCTTCTTCATCTTATCTAATTTTTTGTATTGTCACTCCCAGGTATTTTATTTTTTATTTTTCCTTTTCCCATGCCTATTTCAGTTATTTTATCTATTTCCACTTTTTCTAATTTATTTACTTTGAAGTACATAATTTCTGACTTCTTTGTATTAAACCTAAATCCTGTATTTCTCTCACAGTCACTTAGTATAATTTTTAATTCCCTTATTCCTTCTAGGGGATTGGTTAATAACACCAGGAGATCATCCACATAAAGGTTTAATTTAACCTCCAGACCCCAATCAAATTTACATCCCTCAATCCTTGCACTGTTTCTTATTCTCTCCACTAACACCTCTATTCCTAAATGTCAGGAAGGACTTTTATCTTAGTTTATGGCTACATTCCATTCTCAGGAAACACAAAGAGCAGATGGCCCCTTATCAGCCCATATTTCACTTCAATGTCAGGAAGGAGGATTCCAGCTTATGTTGTCTTTAGCTCAAAGACCAGATCCTGACACTAAAACAAAGAGCAGTGGTGTTAGGGGATAACCTTGTCTTACTCCCCTTTGAATTGGGAATTCCCCTGATGCTCCTTCATTTATTCTGACTGTAGCTGTTCCTTTTCTGTATAGTTATTTAGTTGCTTTAAGAAATAGGTCATCTACTCCAGATTTCTTCATAACCTCCCACAAGAACTCATGGTTTATTGAATCAAATGCTTTATGTATATCTAATTTTAAGAGAGATAGTTTCTTTTTTTGCTTATGTTCAATTATATTTAGTGTATTTCTAATTGGGTATCCAATAAATCCGCCTTTAAAAAATCCGTATTGGTCTGTTTTTATTAATTTTGGTAGTATCTTTTCTAATCTATTGGCTATTTTTTTTTTCAAATCTATATAAATAAAAATGTAGTTAGTTTGTGGGATTAACACAACTCAAAACCCACTGGACAAATTGACACCAAATTTAGATGCAATGCAACTATCAGGCCCACTAGTGACCATCACTCATAAAAACACTGAAAAACACAGCAGAAGAGACTTACAAGCAAAAAATTAAAAAAAAATACAACACATGCGCAAAACCATACACACATAAATGCACGCAAACATATATACACATATACACAAATATATACACACACATATACATACACACACACACAAATACACACAAACACACATATATACACATATACACAAATATATACACACACATATATACATATACACACACAAAAACGGAAGTAAAGGAAAAAATAAAATAAAATAAAATAATACTAATAATTAAATTCAAATAGACAAATAAATCAATAAATCAAATCATTCAACGAGACGCGGGGGAGGGGAGAATAGAAGCAGGCACAGTAGGAACCACAGAAGGGAGAGAACAACTGGCAAAAACTGAAAGAAGAGAAGAAGAGAAGCCATCCTAAAAGACTGGATTACACTTAAAAGAGAGAAAATATTAGTCCTGGAAGGGTTCAGTCTAAGGGTTGGATGGCACAGTTATCTCTGGTATGAAAAGATAAAAATAGAGAAGAACTTAAAAAATCATTTTGTAAGAACTGCATTGATAAGGATATGGGAAAAATACAAGAACTCCTTCTATACAAAAACGCCAACTTGGATCTCACCCCTAGAAGCGAGCCAAAAGAGACTACTAGGTTGGTCGGAATGGCCAACATACAGCGACTTGTTAATGAAGAAGGAAGAGAAAATACAACTAAAACCACAAGAGGAGATAACATCACAATACAAAAACATATCCTGGTTCCAATTCTTACAAATTAAGGAACATTTCAGTAAAGACTCAAAGATAAGATTCACGGATAAGGACGATTTCTGGGAACCCCTGATAAAGAACGGAAAGAAAATTATAACTAAGATCTATTCAAAACTACTAGAATGGTCCACCGAGACCGAATTAATAAAGGAATGCATGATCAAATGGGCCAGAAATACTGGAAGACCGATAAACTTAAGAGAATGGGTACAATTATGGAAATTGAAACTAAAATACACATATTCAACTGATCTGAAGGAGAACTGGTACAAAATGTTCTTTCGATGGCACATGACCCCACAGAAGCTGGGTCTAATGTATAAAAATATTCAAAATAAATGCTGGAAGTGCCAAACACATGTGGGAACATTCTACCACATGTGGTGGACATGCCCCAGAGCTAGAAAATACTGGAAAACAATACAGGAAGCCTCTCAGAAGATACTACAAACAACAATACAATTAAAACCAGAATACTTCCTTCTCGGCATTACGGATGAAGACATTGCGCTTGAAAAAAATAAGGACAAACTATTCACCTACCTGACAACAGCCACAAGGATAATATATGCTAAGAAGTGGAAACTAAAAGAACTGCCAACCAAAGAAGAATGGGAAACTAAAGTATCCGAAATTATGGATATGGACCTATTGACATACTACCTAAAAGACCCGGAGGGCAAACCTGTAAACCCAACAGACTGGACCCTTTATAAAAATTATAAGGAATCACAACGAAGCCCACGAAGACTTCATACTCCCAAGTGAGTATGAGTTATATAACTGAAAACAAGAAATTAGAGATTTGAAAAATCCAAAAAAGAAGTGACCAACATCAAACAAAAGTACAGCACCAGCGTGGAAACTAAAACTACCCAGGGAAGATAAAGGTGGAAGTCAACGAATAGAACCTACTTCAAACCTGAATTTCACTTGTTATGTATTTTTCTCTCTTTTTTCTTTTCTTCTTTTTCTTTTCCTTCCTCCTTTTTCTCTTCTTTTTCTCTTTTATCTTCGACTTTTTGTCTCCCCCCCCCCACTCCCCAATACATCCCTAACCCATCCCTGCACACCTTTATACCTAACCCTGCCCAATCACCCTCCCCCATTCGATCTTCTTTCTGTTTTTAAAATATTTGTAAGCAAAATTATAATAAACATATATTTTTTAAAAAATACTGAGATAAGGCGTGGTTAGATAACTGTGAAAGTATATGTACAATGATTTTGATTCCTGTTCATGTTGTTAACGTGTTGTTAGTATTTGCAATTTTATTGTTTGTGGTTCTTTTTTTGGGTGGGGAGATATATCATGACCTTCCTTCCTGGTTTGTGTGGAACTAGGAAATTAGACCATGCCTTACCTTGCTTTGGCCTGTGCATACTTGAAACAAGGGAAAGGTTTTCCATGGAAATGGGAGCAATGAAGTGGGGGCAGGGTGAGGGATAGGATGTGTGAGGGTAAGAAACTGTCAGTTGGATTTTTGTTTTGTACCACATTGTATGCTTTTAGAAATAAAGCCTTCCCACTCTGTTCATGAGGTAATTTCTTCACCAGAAAGCTGCAGATCTGGACACCAATTGGAATTGATGGCAGCTTTAACGTGTCACAGCAAACATCTCACATAAATCCCTTTTAAGAAAAGAAAAGTACGGTCTGGAAAACAGCGTAACTTGTGTTGAAGTCCCTTGGGATAGCTTTCATTATGCTAACATATAATGTTGACAAATCTACTTTTTTAAACCTGGCAAATTGTAGTTTGGACCAATTTTATAATCTCTCAAATTGTGTTCCTTCTGGTAATGGTGCAGTCATGCCTTCCAGTTGATCTATGCAAAATGGCTTAGGAAGCTTCAAAGGAAGAGAAAAGGAACAGCACTCCAAAGAATTGATAATCCTGCAGGTTTGGACAAGAAACATGTTTAGGGAAACAACTATTGATGTGTGTGTGACATTCTGCAGGCAAGGGAAGAAATAGTTCAAAATAAAAAGAAATATGTACTAAGTTAGAAGCTCTAGCTAGAGCTTTCCAAACTGTGTGTCGGGGCACACTAGTGTGTCGCCTGGAGTTTGTGGGTGTGTCATGTAAAAAATGCTTGTCCCACCACCACACATACACAAAAGTTGGTGCTGTTCAACTGTAGGTATTGTTCTAATTTTTATAATTGGCACAATTTGTTGGTTGAGGTGTAGCAAATGCCACTACAATGCATAAGTTTCCTCTATAACCGCTCCATGCAGTTCATCATAAATATCATGGTCAAATGATGAACCGCATGGAGTGGATATAGAGGAAACTACACGGGATGTAAGTGTAAAGGAAACCAATTCCAAACCTTGTTTGTACAGTAGAGATAAAACTTACATATCCTGTAATTACTCAAGTCTAATGTGCCATCGAATCTAATGCACACCTCAATTTTCAAAACCCCAAAACCCAAAAAAGAATTTCTATATTATGCAAATCCAACATGCACCCTAATTTTGGGAAGATAATTTAGTCAAAAAAGGCAAGCATTAGAATTGAGTAAATACAGTATATATTATACATTACTGAATATAATTCTTGAATATGTATGAAATTCTTATAAGGGGTTGGCTTAACCTCTGTTTTGCCAGTAAAACTGAATGACTGTGTAGCAAAAGGAGGCATGTCTAAGAAGTGTGTCACCAACATGAAAAGTTTGGAAAGCTCTGTTCTAGGACATTGAACATGTTCAGCTGCCTATGCCTTTGGAGCAGACAATTAGGAAGCCTTCTCCTTAATGTTTACCGTTTATACACCTGAGTCCCCTTCGGGGTGAGAAGAATGGAATATAAATGCTTTAAATACATTATAAATTAATGACTAAGCACTGTTTGGGTGGTTTTTCAATTGTTTAATGCAGCACAGTGGGAAAGTGTGTTTCGCTACAAATCTGTTTCAAGAACACATTCCAAATAAGGCAGAGGAATAGTGTATAACTTTGCAGAAAAATTCCCACAATACTCAACCAGTAAGCAAATAAACTAGGAGTATGAATTTGTATGAGACTGATGCTTACCTTTGGTTTTAAAAGCAAAGTTACAGTACTTGCAGACATATGGCCTGGCATCTGTGTGCGTGCGAATGTGTTTCTTCAGCATGCTGGGTTTCTTGCAGCGAATTCCACACTCCTCACATACATATTTCCCACGTCCACGGCCTCGCACATACACATACTCTTCGTTTGATTTGTACCTATGAGCAACAGGGTGTCATGGTGACAGAAACAAAAGATTCCTACCTTACAATAGTAACAAGTCTCTCATTCAAACACACAATCCAACAGCATTACTCATGGTTACAAGAAAAAATGTTGTCACTAGAAACTTGTTGGATAATGATCGAGGAATCATGAAGTTGCATGTATGGGGGATGAGAGAGTACCATAAGGTGCATGCATAGTTTTCCTTTATATGGCTACAGCTGCCCCATTAAACATCCTATTTTCATGCATGTTCTTTTCTTGCCATATGTGGGGAAAAAGCTGGTGCAATGCAAATCTTGAAAAGTTATTTAAACGTACCATATTTCCTCGAGTCTCATGCGCCATTGAATCTAAAACACAACTCATTTTTTTAAAGACTGAAACCACTGATTCATTATCTTAAGGGGTCTGTTAAAACTAACTCTTGTTACAGGTAACATACAGATACTGTAAAATTTTAAAAACAGATTTTGTCTCAATACAGTGTGCTTGGCTAAGAATGCATCACTTCTGCATACAAAAACAATCAAGATGCTGCAGTGTGTTTGGCTAAGAATGCATCACTTCTGCATACAAAAACCCAATCAAGATGCTACAGTGTGTTTGGCTAAGAATGTATCACTTCTGCATACAAAAACAATCAAGATGCCATAGTTTGTTTGGCTAAGAATGCATCATTTCTGCATACAAAAACAACCAAGACATTACAGTGTGTTTGGCTAAGAATGCATTACTTCTGCATACAGAAAAACCAATCAAGATGATACAGTGTGTCCCCTCCCCCCCCCCAAAAGAGATTTGGAGTAAATCAGGTTCAAGACAAGTAGTCTCTGAACATAGTGGGGCGAAAGGAATAGGGGGAGAAGAATACTTCACAAGGTAAGGGTGGGAAGGGAGGGAAGAGAGGAAGAGGGATCTAAAACAGGGGAGAGCATGAATTAGGGACCAGCCAAGTAGGAGTAAAAGGAGAATGGTAAAGAAATGGGGGAACACTGGAGAATTATATCTTTGAATTGTAAAAACTTGGGCTCAGTCTTTAAAAGGAAAACCATTACAGACTTGATTTATAAAGCTAAAGCTAATTTTGTATTCTTACAAGAGACCCATCAATCAAAACCAGAGGTGAATGAGCTTAAGATGCGTGGATCTGTAACATATATAAAATCGTATGGAACATCCAAATTGAGGGTTATGGCTATTATAATTCAAAATTGATGTAAAGGAAACAAAGATAGATGAACAAGGAAGATATATAATTATACAAAGGACAATGGGAAATGAGGACTTCAATTTTGCCAGTGTATATGCTCCAAACAATAACCAAGCGGAATTTTATGAAACAATATTTTTTAAAAATAGAGAGAATACAGAAATCTTAGGAGGGGATTTTAATGAAATAATGGATGAGAAAATGGATACATCCCACCACACAAAGAAAGGAAAAGGGAGAACACAAAATAGAATGACTCTAAGTAGAATAATAAGAAATAAAAATATGGTCAATATCTGGAGAATGTTAAAGGGAAATGAGAAAAGATTTGCATTCCATTTGACAGCCCATCAATTTTTTTCTAGAATTGATTATTTCTTTGTTTCACAGCAGGTACTACCCAAAGTACTAGATACTAGAATAGAGGTAATAAGATGCTCAGACCATGCATTAATAAGCTTGGATCTCCAAATAAAGAACTATTACCAAACATATAAGAACTGAAAGATAGGAAATGAATATTAGAGAACAATAAAATAGTGAAGAAAAAATAGCCAAGAACTAGCACATATCTGGGAAATTAACTATAACAAGCAATGCTCTTATGCAACCATGTGGGACATGATGAAAACAGTATCGAGGGGTCTTTGTATAAAAGAAGCATTCAATCTAAGTGGAGAGCAAGAAGCAGAGAAAAGGAATTTAGAATTAGAAATCCAGGAATTAGAAAAGAGATACGTAAGGGAAAAGGATAAGCAAAGTTATCTTAATGCAATGGCTAAAAGGAAAGAATTGGATAAACACAACTTGGAAGAAGTACAGAGAGATTTATTATACACGAAAAGGGAATATTTTGAGTATAGCAATCAGAACTCCAGGATGCTGGCTAAAGCAGCACACGACACGAGGAATAAGAACACAATTGGAATTATAAAAGATAAGTGGGGCAGGGGAATCATATCAATGAAAGAAAAGTTAGCTGTCTTCCAAGAATTCTATCAAAAACTATATACAGCAGTGGATAATCCAAACAGCAAGATAGAGGGGGGCTATAGATACATATTGGAAAATAAAATTACAGGAGATGGGTAATTAGCATCAGAAAAAGATAGAAGCTATAGAGAAATTGAAAGGGGGGAGGACTCCAGGAATGGGTAGGCTAAAATAGTGGGGAAAATAGCAAAGAACTAGCACCTGGGATCATATTAATTTTAAAAAACAAAGATTCTACAGATCCTGGTTCATACAGACCTATTGCCGTTATCAATCAAGATGCTAAAATATTGACAGCAATAATGACAAAGATATTAAATAGCTTTATACATAATTATGTTTTAAAAGATTTATTCCTGGAAGACAAATGTCAAACCCAGTGGGAAGAGTACTAAATGTAATCCCTACAATAAAGAAAAAGAAAATTAAAGCAGGAATACTGGCCCTATATATATATTTAAAGTATTCAATTACGTTTCATGGACGGCATAAAAAAATAGAAAAAAAATGGATAAGGAGTGAGATTTAAAGGACTGATTGAGAAACTATACTCAACCAACTATGCTGCTATACAAGTAAATGATGGCTTTACGGACAAAATTAGATTAACTCAAGGAACAAGACAGGAATGCCCCCTTTCACCCATCCTATTCACAATCATTATAGAAATGCTAGCAAATATGATATGAGAGGACATGAATATAAAGGGGATAGGGAAGGAGGGAAGATATAAGATATGTTTATTTGCAGATGATGCATTACTAACCTTCAAAAAGCCATTAGAACAAATAAAAAGAATAGAGGCACATCTAACAGAGTATGGAGAAATTGCAGGCCTTAAAGTTAATTGGAATAAATTGGAAATCTTATTATTCAATCACACTAAAGAAGAGGAAGAGAAATTAAGATAAGGGAGATTAGGCAGAATAAAAATAAGGAACTCAATAAAATATTTAGGAATTAACATATCTTAAAAATGAGAATTTAATCCAATTAAGGAAAAAATGTTAAAGATATTCTGGCTAAATTTGCCAAGTTTAAAATATAGAATCATAGAATCGAAGAGTTGGAAGAGACCTCATGGGCCATCCAGTCCAACCCCATGCCAAGAAGCAGGGAAATTGCATTCAAAGCACCCCAACAGATGACCATCCAGCCTCTGTTTAAAGGTTTTTCTTTGGAATCTTTTAAACAGAGGCTGGATGGTCATCTGTTGGGGTGCTTTGAATGCAATTTCCCTGCTTCTTGGCAGAGTCTCCACCACACTCCGGGGCAGAGAGTTCCACTGCTAAACAGCTCTCACAGGTAAGAAGTTCTTCTTCATGTTCAGATGGAATCTCCTTTCTTGTTTGAAGCCACTGTTCCGTGTCCTAGTCTCCAGGGCAGCAGAAAACAAGCTTGCTCCCTCCTCCCTATGACTTCCTCTCACATATTTATATATGGCTATCATGTCTCCTCTCAGTTGTCTCTTCTTCAGGCTAAACATGTCCAGCTCTTTAAGCTGCTCCTCGTAGGACTTGTTCTCCAGACCCTTGATCATTTTGGTCGCCCTCCTCTGGACACATTCCAGCTTTTCAATGTCTGTCTTCAATTGTGGTGCCCAGAATTGGACACAATATTCCAGGTGTGGCCTAACCGAGGCAGAACAGAGGGATAGAATGACTTCCCTAGATCTGGACACTATACTCCTACTGATGCAGGCCAAAATCCCACTGGCTTTTTTTGCCGCCACATCACATTGTTGGCTCATGTTTAACTTGTTGTCCATGATGCCCCCAAGATCTTTTTCACATGTACTGCTCTCGAGCCAGGCATTGTCCCCCATTCTGTATCTTTGCATTTCATTTTTTCTGCCTAAGCGGAGTATCTTGCATTTGTCCCCGTTAAACTTCATTTTGTTAGTTTTGGCACATCTGTCTAATCTATCAAGATCGTTTTGAATCCTGCTCCTGTCCTCTGGAGTATTGGCTATCCCTCCCAATTTGGTGTTGTCTGCAAACTTGATGATCATGCCTTCTAGCCCTTCATCTAAGTCATTAATAAAGATGTTGAACAGGACCGGGCCCAGAACGGAACCCTGCGGCACTCCGCTCGTCACTTCTTTCCAACATGAAGAGGAAGCATTGGTGAGCACCCTCTGGGTTCGTCCATTTAACCAATTACAGATCCACCTCACCGTAGTTTTGCCTAGCCCACATTGGATTAGTTTTCTTGCCAGAAGGTCATGGGGGACCTTGTCGAAGGCCTTACTGAAATCCAGGTACGTTTCAATCTGTTCAGCTCGAGGATGTCGACAGGATTCTTGGGTAGGAGAGGCCTACCACATGCATCCTAGACCCCTGCCCATCCTGGCTGGTAAAGGAAGCCAGAGGGGGTTTGGCAGAGTGCGTAAACGTGGTGGTTAATGCCTCCCTTCAGGAAGGCAACATTCCAACCAGCTTAAAACAAGCTGTTATAAAACCGCTGTTGAAAAAACCATCACTGGACCCCACTCAATTTGTCAATTATCGGCCAGTTTCCAATCTTCCCTACTTGGGCAAAGTCCTGGAATGTGTGGTGGTCTCGCAACTCCAGGATTTCCTGGTGGACACTGATTATCTGGATCCGGCGCAGTCTGGCTTTAGGCCAGGACATGGTACCGAGACAGCCTTGGCCACCTTAGTGGATGATATTCGCCGGGAACTTGAAAGGGTGTGTGTGTCCCTGTTGGTTCTGCTGGACCTCTAATCAGCCTTCGATACCGTCGACCATGGTATCCTCCTGGGATGCCTCGCGGGAATGGGCCTC